TCTAGGAAATAGCTGTATAAAGACTAAATAAATTTGGTAAACTAAGAACAGCAAATCGACAAAACTCCAGCTGGACTGTGTATTACCCTACTAGAGCAGGAATATCCTCTGTGAGACAGCTTTGTTACAAGGGATATCACAGTGCAAGCGTGCCATTTTCAGTTCATCCACATGGATGGCCCTGCTAAATCCGGCGGCACACAGTGTCAGAATAACTGCGCTGCCACGCAATGCTAGTGCAGTGGCACTCCGTTACTCGAATAAAGACCCTTTCTTTTGTTGTTCTTTGAAACAAATCTAAGAAAGGAAAGGCAAGTGACTATAGAGAAGAATAAGTGAAAGCTGATCTTCTGCGGGCAGCGGCCAGCGCGTTGGAGAGTATGCTGTCACATACACATCCTTGTGTAGGAAACTTGGCCCAATCAAACATTTCTATCATCAAAAGCGAGTGACCTGGCCAGCTGGATATGCTCTGTGAGCAGCGCGGAGAGCTCAGGAAGAGTGCCCGTGCTTGCTGCCTTCTCCCCTTTCTGGCAAAGGGTGAGGGGTTCTCGCGTGGGGCTGAACACCTCCGACCCCGGCCAGGCTCTTGTGGTACCCAGAGCCGCTCACAAGACAACACCTGGTACACTCCTGTTGGGAGGCCCAGAAAACAGGTTTTTTTACCTCGTTCTTTCATACCAAAAATATGTTAAAGATGAAGTTGTACCTAAAAAAAAAGTAATTTGAAATTAGTTTCAGCAATTTTCCAGAAAAGAAATGCTACAAAACCAGGAAATTGATATATTACGGTAGAGAAACAAACCCAAAGTTGGCTTCAGTGCACTTTCTAGAAAACACATGCAGCCTGTGGCCTTCTGCCACTGAAAACATTTCAGGTGTAGTTCATATTGGTGTTTAGCATTTTAATGCACTCCAAATATTAAGAAACCATTTGTTCAGAAAAGTATCTGTTTGCCAGAATGCACCTGCAGGTGTGTGGCTGAGGGTGGCGTGTTTCACCAACAGCAGGTCAGATTTGTTTATTTAAAAAATAAAACCACCTTTAAACACAGACCCAGCTGCACATTGTCACTGAAGCTCAGACTGGAGCTGGGAGCGGGAGGTGGCAGGAGGATGCTGGGCTTTGCTCCCAGCACCACTCATGGCCTGAGTAAATCACAGTTTTACCAGCACTTTCGCAGATACTGGAGACACACCTTTAGAAGTACAACATTCATTAATGATAACCATTATTTTAATAGTTAATAGTTTACAGCAGTTAAAAATACAAAACTTTTGCACAAGTGTACACACATATATCCACAAATACAGACACGTTTTAGGGATGGTTCTACTTCAGAATCCCCACTAAGAAACAGAAGGAGGAGGAAGAAGACATTGGTTGGTCCAATGGCAGCAGGCTGGGAAATCTCAGATACCCCCTTACAGCAAGCTGGGTAAAGCACAAGGAGCACCTCTGCAGAACCAGACCCAGGAGTCACTTGTGAAGATCACGACAGCAGTTCAACAGTGCAGGGGAGAGAGCTCCTGGAGTTACAGCAAGGGAGCTGAATGCCACACAGAAAACTACCTGCAATCATCTGCACATTGGCAGTTTTTTGAGAGTGAGAAGGCTCTTACAGGGTAGAAACAGTCCTTGGTAGCCTCAACAAGTGTTACCTGTAATTGTTGCAATCAGTTACAACAGTGATCTGCACTAGGCAACGTGACCAGTGTTAGATGTTATTTATTTGAATACAAACAGAGAAAGCTTCAAAGATACAGGATTTTTGCAGGGTAAGGGTTAGTTCAGTGGTTACATCAATGATTCAAAAAATTATAAACCACACGTGTAATTTGCTAAATCCTGAAGTACTAGATTACCAGTCAAGCAGGAATATGATGTGAGGCAGGACTCCGATGTGGTCTGGTGTCCCCAGGGTTCTGCTCCCTGCACACGTCCATAGCGGGATCTCCACCTCTGGACTGTGATAGTTTCAGAGATGGCTGGTTGGGGGACAGATGGGAGCCAGTGACGGCATCAAGTTGGGCTGTTCAGGGTCCGTCAGTCTCTGCCTCCCTATAATTATACATGCACAACTTCAGGCTGCTTGTCAGCTGCTTCTTGTTGGTTATTAATGCCCATATTTGCTAAGATTATGCTAAGGTCATCTTCCTTTACTATTAATACTAACATTTATGTGTTTTCTTCTGTGATACTTAAAACTTCACCCTCCACACAAGAGCCATCCAACACTGGGTGTGGTGCTGGTGGCCGCAGCCCAAACCCTTCACAATTAAGAGTGCTGGCTCACACCTGCCATGCAGTCTGCTGGATCGAAGTACCTCAAGCTTTCCAGCATCATTAAAGGTTTCCAGGAGTTAAACTTCCAGCAGTTGAATCTGACACTGGATAGACCAGTTGAGGTGACCACCTGTGTCCTAATACAGGTGAAGGGACCTGGCACAACAGTTTCGCTACACTGGTGCTGCTAGCTGACACCTAAGCATGAGCAGCCAGTATCAGATTGACTGCAACCATCACACGAGGCTACACCCAGCATTTTTGAGAAAAAGCCTTCTCCTTCTGACCTGGTCCTGTTTGGGTTGGGAGGGCAGCTTCCAATAACAGCAGCCACTCAAGGGATTAATCTTCTGCTTCTTTGGCAGTCTGCGGTGGCCAGGAGGTGAGCAAGTTGTCTTTGAGGAAACACTGACAGTTGCTGGAAGAGAGGCCTTTGGGGTGGAGCCCGATTCGTCCAAAGGAGCTGGCCCCACAGTTATGAAAAAGTTACATACAAAAATCATCAGAAGAAATTGCCTAGGGTGGCTGGTTACTCAGTAATTCTTAGCTCTGTCATGAATGAAAGGGGAGGGAGAAGGGAAGAGAGGCAGAATTTCCACAGCAGGAAAACCAGCTGGTATAGCAGTCTTTGGATACCTGTTGGGGCTAAGATATATTGGAGCTACCAAGAAGGGAAAGACTTTCACTATTCAGTCTTGTCAAAATGCTGCTTGGAGGACAGGCGCTCAAGGAAACCTACTGCCTGTTTTCCTGAAGAGTCTGGTAAAGCCTGATTAGTCAAGGCCTCCGAATCTGAGATGAAGCCGTTGTCCCTATCCCTCTCTGCACCTTTGTGAAACTTTGGCTTGGAGCCCCCTGCAGATATTACACATCCCTTTTGCTGGTGGTAACAGCACACGGGATGGCTGCTTGCAGCAAGACATGGGTGTGTTTGCGGGTAAAGGTGGAGAAGGAGCATTAATACCTCGTCCCTTAAAAGTCAAGGAGGGAGGCATGAAGCAATTCCCCTTTTTCCAAAGGGGCGCGTAGAGGGGGAAATAAACAGCCATAGAGAAACTTCTTGACATCACTCAGAAACAGCATAGCTGAAGTTTGAAAAAGCTGCAACAAAACTACCAGCAGCTCAGGAGCGTGCTGCCAGAAATAAGAGGGCGTGGTTCATGCCCTGTGCCTGAGCACACCACAAGCAATAAGGTGACAAAAGGTAAACGTGCCCAGTGAGCACCACTAAAGCCAAGGACAGTCAGATTTGAATTACACATGGAGCATACACGAATATTTTAATCACAGCTGCTCAAAAGAGAAGTGGGCATTTTTCTGTATTTCACCTTCAGCATGTTTAACTGAGGCCTTAGACTTGCTAGCTTAACGACAAGTGGATGACTCGTAGCACAAGCATACAAACACCACTGTCACAAGCAGAGATTTGGGTTAAACTGTTCCCACTTGCTCTACCCAAACTCAAAATTATAGTTTTGTTGCTGAGGGTAAGCTATTGAAGGAAATAACTTTGGAGAAAGACTGATAGGCATGAACAGCTGGGAGTAGATTTGGGACAATAACAATTTAAATTGCATCTGCCACAGATGGACTTGTTCAGGTCACTGTTCTCCCTGCCCCCCACAGAGTATTCACATTTAAGTCAATGGGACTATTGATGGGCACAAGGACTTGCACAACTGTTTGTGCAACCTGCTAGTCTGGATGTTCACATCCTCTTGGGACTAGACAGATGCAGGGATATAAAGTACAACTTACACCCTGCAAAGAAGTGTTCTCCTGCTCGCATTCCTTATGGTATTTACCATTCTTCATGGTGGGACCAAGAAAAACGTCTTTGATCTGGACAAGACAGAGATGTCAGCTCTGAACAAGGAAAAGCTCGCACAGAAACTCTGAAGTATTAACAGATATTTCTAAACAATATACCCCACTGTTCTCATTCTTAGACTTTTTTTTTTAAAAAAAAGACCCAAAACCAAAAATCCAACACTTCAAACTGATAAGTCTCCTATCTATCACCATCCCCTCCTCAGGCGCAAGGGAATGCCCATTCTTGCCACCTTTAAGGCAAGGGAAGCACTATAGCAGCAAAGAAAACCCACAACTGCATAGCAAGTAATTGTTCAGGTCTGTAGCATATACAGGTCTTAATGCCACAATGTAAGCTAGCACAAACACAGCGAGAAAAGTCACTGCAGCAGTAAACCTCATGTTTCAGTTTTTCCTACCCTCTTCACTCCTGCCCTCAAATTTCTGCTCCAAGCTGCTTTCTCAGAGTATGGCATACCTCCAGGTAAGCAAAGCTGGTTTTAAAAGGGTTTTAAAGCTATTGACTCAAAGTGAGTTTAATAAATTTAAATTCATAAATACTGAAAGTAAAACTATCAAGGAGAGTAAGGATAGTTTAAAGAAGCTGCTGGTCAGCTAAAAAAGCTATGGGGTATTACACTATTAGAATAAAGATCCTAATTAAAAAACCACACAACTTATACACATACTTCTTACATTACTCCTTACATACTGATGAACATTTGCATCGCTCAGAGACCAGGTAGCCCACTGGCTGCAGCTGCCGAACATGCTGATTGGGGTACTCACACAAACCAAATTTGGCTGTGTTCTCTCCAGCAACTTGTCCTAGTAAGTTAATGGGGAAGATGGTGTAGCAGTATAACTCAAAAGGAAATGCCAGAAGCTCCAAATACTTTGAAAAATGTGTCATTTTATTTGTACACTTCCAAAGTTGTATGTAGAAACTTATAGTAGAGTCCTGTAAGTTTACTCATTGCTAGAACTGCTGGGGACACAGGATGGTATTTACTGATTGATCATCAAGTTAGAGGGGAATAAACAACAAAAAAAAACCCCACCAGAAAACAAAAACTTAAAAGTTATGGAACTCTCTCTTTTTGTTGTTTTTAATTCCCAAGTACAAATTTTATAAATACAAAACAAATTCACAAATTACTTTGAATGCTAAATAAATATCTACTTAATAAACTCAGACTGAATACCTCCAGCCAGCACTGGTACAGTACTTAAAAAGATATGCAGTTGTACTCATTCATGTGTAGTGTTGAGAAGATATGCTCAAACAAGTTTTAAACATACACACAGCTTCAACTGTGCTACAGCAGAAGATTTTATCTGAGTTGATAAAGCCCTCAATACCACAGCTCCTACAAAATCTAGAGAATGAAACAAGGTCATTTGGTACAGGAAAAAACAATGTACTTCTGGAAGATATTTGGACACATGAATGTATTAAAAATGTACAAAACCTCTGTAAACCAGTACTGTATCCAGTACATCTATCAAAATTATTAGACACTGAATAAAACTGTAGCAAAGGTAATCTTTCCTACGTTCTCCTGAGTGCTTAATATTAAGTTGAGAATATAGTGCAGGCCACACTTCAAGGTGGTTAAACAGTTGTTATTGCTTTATACACGTATGACGACTGTGTGATTTAACATTTCATTTTAATGAAGATAACAGATTCCCTCAAAAAATCCTTTGGAAGGCAGAGGTTAGATTCGTGACTTCTTTGCTGCGGGAGCAGCATGGTCCACATTACCAGATGTAATTGGAAGTCCGAGCTTTTGAGCCTGAATGTGGAAGAAAGCTTGAAGTCTAGTTCCAGCTTTTGCTTCACTTGTGTTCCGAGGGTTGTATTCAAAGCAGTTCGAAAACATCAGCTCAATGTCTTCAATGAATTCCGCTAGTAAATAAAAAGTAAATAAATTAGTGTGTCTCAAGTCATAAGATAGCAGTACGATAAAGCAGTATGACAGACACCACTGAATTAGTATAGTCATCCTCCACAGAGCTGCAACACAAAACATCTTTCCATGTGTCAAGTTTCTATCACTATATTAGTGAAGTGTCATGTAAACATTCTTAAATTTCTCTGATTATCAGTAAAGGAAATACAAATCAGGCAATAACAGCAGTATCTTTTCTAAATATTTCATCAGTGTCACTCACTGACATCAAAGGCTTGAGAAATTACCAGCAGCTTCTCAGCTGCTCATTTCTTGTCTATCTGTACATCCTGTATTTAGCTAGTGAAAGAACTATGTTCAACAAATCTCATTTAAAAAATATTAGTAAATGCTCTTTAAAAAAACCAAACCAAAACAAAAAACAACATGAAACACCACAGCAAACACAAACACAATTTCATCTTTCTAATCCTCTGACACAGCTCTATTTTATAACAAGAACTTATTTTAAAGACAGAGAATAGGGTTTATTAACTCTTTCAATAAATAATACTTACATGCTAACTTATATTCACATTTATTCACTTTTTCACGGATTATATTTAAGGCAATAGGTTTTTTGATGATATCATAGTAGTCTGGTACCTTAAAAAAAAAAAAAAAAGAATTATTCATAGACAAAGAAATGGAAGCTTACAATTCTACCTATGTAAAAAATTAAGCAAATTATGCATTACCAGAAAGCATTTTGGTTTTGTTTTTAAAGAAATAAAGGAGTCCCAAGCAACCACCTCTATTTCCTGAACTGAATATTAGTTTTCAGGTACTGCTTTTCCATTTTTTATATCATTAAAGTAGCAGACCACAACAAACATTAGCCAGCAATTCAATTAATAAATCTAATACTAAATACCCTGTGAACAACTGCAAGAAAATTGCATGACTAGATAAGCATTACAGTGTTCCAGCTACTCCCATCTGTCAAGCGCAAAAATTATTTCCAAGATTTTAAAACTTTTCATTTTCCTGTAACATGTTACAATATTAAAAGCTCCTTAATCATCAGTAATAGCCATTCTTACTCCACTATTATTCACCACCTTGCAGTCTTGCAAGAGAAATTAAATCCTGAGATTCCATTTATTTTGTTGAAGAGAAGGAGTAAAGCTTTCTGTAGCAAGCAGGACACAGTATGCAAGTACCTGAGATAAACAGCCAGTCAGAACAGTGTTTATGTGATAAAAGTGAGAGGAGGAAAGGGACTGCCTAATCCTTAAGGGCACTGATCATTTGTATCATAGATTTTGCATTGTAGGTAAGCACCAAGCTTAAGGCAACTCTGTCTCACTCATAAAGCTGGGGAGGGAAGACAAAAGATAGCTCATCCAAATTTGACCTTTTTTAAGGTAAGTTCTTGGCTGTGGCCTGTAACTTTACTATATCAAGTGCAGCCTGCAAATGAACCTAGAGAAAGAATTAGTAGAGAAACAGCATTAGATTGACACATTTTTAATTCCTTTCCCTTTAGGAGTGCTGTTTACATAAGTACTAAAAACAAATGTAATTTTCTCTTTCTGGTTTGCTGTGCACTGATCATTCAATGTATTCTTTACACAGTCTTAAAGGCTGCAAAAAGTTTAAATCAAAATTTCTATCACAATGAAGAAAATCTGGGTCACTTAGGTATCCGTTTTTCTTTCTGAATTATGTAGAGACTATCCCTTAGTGACTGATCCAGTCAAACCAGAATGCACTGAATTGTAGCAGTTTCTTTTCAGGATCAAAATTAAATTGAATTCTCCATCCCTCCCTAAGAAGCTTCCTCGCATTCACCAGATTCTTGCACTTTCCAGTGTAATTCCTGTACTCTAGCAGGCAGACACTAGTCCCTGTTTCATTCAGAATTCCTCTCCTCCGCCTCCTTTGTGCTTACATCTTTCATACACTTTTGTACATCATTCTTTTTGTCCAGATACATTAATCCTTCCATTTATCTGTGACTCCTTAGAGTTTCAAGTCTTCATTTAACAGCTATCACTGTTAATTTTAATACAGCACTTAAACACTGAGCTCCAGATTCTTCAAGAGCATCTGTGCAAAGGTGCTCCAGAGGGCCAGGACAGGACAGACACTGTGTTAGGGCAGGATAGCTCCAGCAGTGCCTTATAACTGACAAGCCAGTGCAGCCTGCAGAGAAGCAGACGTGCCTGGAGCACTTTCACTGTAATGCAAACCTCTAAAGCAGCACTCACTGTGGGTATCCACCTTACCATCAAGTGTTTTAAAATCTAAACAGGAGGGAAATTAAGAACTAAACTAAGAAATCATCTTTTTAACTGCATTATAGTTAACATCAGAGTGAAGTTGTTCCTACCTTGTTATTTTATTGCAGGTCTGTTCTCCAAGTACCTTTGCATAAACTGAAGATGAATTGAACTAATTAATTAATTTACCACAAGCTTACCTTTAGCACTGCTGTGCTCTGTTTTAGTTTTTTTGTTTGTTTGTTTTGTGGGGGGTTTTTTTGTTTGTTTTCCAAATCAAAGCATTTCACATTTTTAAATGCCTGGTAGCAAGCATATATAAAAATTTCCCAATAACGTGGGAAAATATTTGAGCTGAAGTGTGAGAGTTCTCTTGAATCCTATTGCTTAGCTGCATCCCCCTGTTTGGGCAATGCTATACAATTCCAAGTTTTATTCGCAGCAAACAGGATTCTCAGCCATTATCATTCCCTCAGCAGTTCCATCAGTTACCTGGATTTTGGAAACCAGTTTCATGAAAGGCCAGCTGTCATCATGTCGTACCAGTTCCACTATGAGTTGTTCAAAAGCTGAGAGTTCATGGACTCCCCCTTGACGTCCTGAACTTCTCCTGTTCAATGAGGTCTGAGGAGATGATTCTGGAAAAAAGCAACACCCAACCAGATAAAAATAAACACCTGACAAGTAAAATAAAAAAAAAAAAAAAAAAAAAAAAGAAGTGAAACACCATTATTCTTGGGTACTAAAACTCTACTTTCAGGGTACAGCTCATGGAGTTTGGCTTCAAGTATTTGCTATACTACAGCCTTGTTATTAACCACTAAATGTCTCTCTTGCTTTACAAAATACTAAGTACCAGGACTTAGCTATGTTCCTCCTCCATTCTTCTTCATTGCATTAATTTTGGAAAGGAATTTTTCACTGATTTAAATTTTAAAACAATTTGTAAAACACTCAAAGAAAAGCCCTATTAGAGCAAAACAGAATAAGCCGCCTGCTCATAACTTTTACTTCCACAAAACCTCTATTCAGAGTGGTTTTATCTGCTTTCAAGAGTAGTCAGCAGGGTGGTTAGAGGATAAGCCCTGAAACTCCCAATGGTGAAGGACAGAAATGGGTGCAGAATACAAGGCTGCCACACTGGAGTGCAAGCTCTTTTACACTCTTGAGTCTTACACTGGGTCCTTTTTGTTTCTGAAAGGTTATTGTAGCTTTCCAACTATTTCCCTGCCATCAAATACCTGGTATTAGTTTAAAGAGCAAGGACACTGTTAGCTCCATACCAGATAGATGGCATTTTTCTTCTGTTAGCAGTTTCTTCTTGTATGTGTATATTGCCAATTTCACTACCTTGCCTACATCTGTGTTCTTCACTGTTTTTAACTCTTTAATAAAACAAAACCACAAAAGCTGTAAGTAAATATTTGCATTTAATGGGTTAAGGCATAAATAGACAGGCTCTCTGTCATATTTTCTATCCACTTACTAGCAATTGCTCCATACTGTGTGCAAATATGAAATTTCAGATATGAGTATGATAAATCTCCTTGGCAAACTAAGTATTTGGTTTTTAGATGACTGCATTTTTTTTTTTTAAGGTTCACTTCTGTCACTGCAAAAGCAGGAAACTGTCTTGTTGGAAGTGGTAAAAATGCTTTCAACCACCACTTCTAGTCTACTTGCTCTACCACACAAATATTTTAGCAAGGAACAGAATGTGGTTTTCATTCTGGTCAAACACATTTCTCTAACCTGTGGATTGTCGTTTCCTGCCTCTTCTCTTGGGTTCAGTAACAGGAAGAGAAAGTTTTGAAGCAGAAACTGGATACTTCCTAAGCCGTTCAGTCGAGTCTGAGGTATCAACAATTCTAAATCCGAGAGAATTGGAAGGGCTGTTTTCCAGTGTGTTATCAGCACTCTTCCTTCCTCTTCGTCTTCTTCGAGGACTGAGTAATTCCACAAATACATCTGCTTGTAGTGAACTATGGCTCTGACGAGTGGTCCGGCTATTAAGTCTTAAAGAAGGCTTTGTCACTGATGGAGGAGCTGACTTTCTTAACCTCCTTCTGGTAGCTTTAGATGGAGGTTCACTTTGCTTAGGTGTGTTTTCCTGACTCCGAGAAGCGTACCTTGCCTGACGCTGGCTGCTCCGACTTGAGAATGGATTGTTGAGTTTGGCTGCTCTCATTTTTAATGGAAACTTGACCTGGGGTCTTCCTTGCTTTGATGGGCTACAGAAAGGGAACAATTATGTTTATTTCCCAAAATGCCATTCTTCTCTTTTCCCTCAGTTTTCTAATTCAGCATTGAAAAAACCCAACTATTCAAGGTTGGACTGGTAAGCAGCTGGCTTTCAAGCTGATACAGTCATTCAATTACCATTACCTCCTCTACTGTTCTGAAGTCTCTTAATTAAATATTACGTGGAGCATGTACTTTAAAGAAACGCTCAGAATTCTGATCACCTTTGCAGCTTGTACAACGCGAGTGTGTTAACTGGAGCACCAGCTATCAATTTCTTTAAATCACTTACTTGCTTCTCACAGCAGCTGTAACTACCAGGATTTTTGAATATTATCAGCTACATAGAACACTAAGTATAAAGTTATGCTTTATTCAGGGTTTATAACTAGTACTCAAGACTCTCTTCCATTGCAGGAGAGGAGGAAGATCCCAGAGAGAAATTTACTTCTCAAGGAGATGCAAGTTCTATCCAACTATTGAATCCCAAATGTCAGAGCCACAAATAATCTTGCTTCAGTCAAATCAAAAGACTGTACCAAAAAGAAGAAAAATACTCCAACATCAGGAAATTTTCCTTCAACTTTTACTCTCCTGGCATGTGTATCAAATCCATCCCCTTAGTGAAATTATCACATTGGATTATTTAGTTGTTTGGGGTTTTGTTTGGTTGGGTTTCATGGGGGTCTTTTTTGGTGTGCTGGCTTTTGGTTTGTTTTTAAACAGCTACTGCAGAAGTCCTGAATTCCGCCCAATGTCACAGCCTCTGAGATGACTTTGTCTTCCCTAACGTTCAATACTTATTGTATGCATCTATAGTCCCCCAAAATTCAAAACTGGACAAAACCAACTCCATGTTTTCTCTAGAAAATATTTACTGTTTGAAATTGTCTCCACTTCATATTCAAACAGCAGCTGTACAGAACTGCAACTCTGATGGCCATCTCTCACCCACACATTCAAGGCTGGAATTTTCATGCTAAAAAGTGAGTCTAAGTCCAGTGGACCTAACTTTTGTTAATATTAAACCCATCAATAAGAGCCAAATTCATAACAAGCTGCATTCTTTTTTAAAATAAACATATTTTTCAGACTGGATTTTCAAGATGTGTGTGTATGTGAACAATTACTCCACCTAAAAATCAAGATGATATTCAGTAGGAAACCACTTTAACATATCTATTTACCTTATCTCTTCTTCCTCTTGAGAGTCATCCTCCTCATCTTGCTCTTCTTCGTAACGTTCTTCCTCACTTTGTCCCATTTCATCATAGTCTGCTTCTTCTTCCCCTTCTCCTAGTCGTTCAGCAGTCTCTTCATCACTTTCCACAGAAGGTCTCTGTCTGGAGGAGAGGCGCCTAGAGCGCTGTTTTGGTCGGCACTCTGGACAAAACCAGTCTCCTTCAGGAATGACCTGGAAACAGAAGAAAAGGGAAAATTAGTAATATGCAATGAAGTCATAAGAACTACTCAAGTTTCTTTGTGAAAAGGAAGCACTTCTTCCTCAAATACCTTCAGCTTGGGCCTGATACAGTAAGTATGATAGCCTCGATCGCATCCATCACACAGCACCATGCTTTCTGCATCGCCTTTCTTTCGACACACTTTACAGCGAGCATTGAGGATGGACTTTGACCAGATGACACTTCGATCCAATGTAGACAGATGAAGGAAAACTTGGGACAAGCTGGTAGAAGAAAGAAGTGACTCTCTCCAGCGATCCAAAACTGTTTTATAGGATCGTCCACCATCACTGGCATCTTCCATTAAAGACGGGGATTTAAAAAAAAAAAAAAAAAAGGAGAAAAGGCAGAATGATCAACCTTCTTTTTCAAACACCCAGGTTTTCCTAGACTATAAGGTTAAGGCTCTGACTTTCAAACAGACAGCAGTAGCAAACTGGGATAATATTATAACCTTTGTCTTATCTCTTCAATACTTGAATATTTCCTCCTAAGTTTCCAAGCTGCTGAAGCCGTAAAATTTTATACTTCAATACCAATTCAACTTAGAACTTGCACATACATAGGACATGAGTAAGACATAAAAGTCTTACTCAGATGTCAACCCGGAAACCTAACAATTTGATTATTTATAGATAAAAATAACTTACAATCAAAAAAACCCCAAAAAACCAAAACCCACCACACTCACAATTTACTTTCCCTTGTATGTACATTTTGAAAGCCCAAAATATTTACATTTAAAGAGAGCACCTGACATTAAAGAGAGACTTCGCTGGCCAAAAAACAGCTTAAAAGGGCTTTTCTCACCTGCACTTGCCCTTGCCCCCGTATAGTCTAGCAGACAATCTTTCAGCCCTCTGTCCACGCCTCAGTGCCTTTATTCCTCCTCTGCACTCTGCCTGCACACGAACCTGCACTGCTATGTGGTTAACCAGATTGGGCGACTGGTCTGGTTGAAATATAACTTTTTTTGATATTTTATAAGCAATGTAGCACACATTAGCTAGTGGCAAACCAAGTAAGGCCTGGGATCCTAATTAGGCTAGAAATAAACAGGCTGGGAAGGGGGGTGTGGTGCGAGGTGAGAAATTATACTGCATTTTCAAACAGGTTTGGTCTGCAATCCAGTCCACCCAGGTGGCCACACAAATGCACTCGCAGAATAGTGAGGGTGGCAGTACCAAACAGGAATGAGCAGCTGGGAATTACGGAAGCATATGGGCTGTTTGAGGAGTTAGAGAAATGAGAAGGTGTAAATCACACCCTTGTACTACTGCTGCTGAGCAGAAAGGGAATTTCTTTACGAAAGTTGAAAGCTCTTTCTTGCCTTTTGAAGCAAGAAAATTTAAGGAGAGGAAGATATAATGTAGCGGTACTTTTGATTATAGAAATGTCCACAGATTTCCCTTTTAAAAGTGGCAGTCCAGTTACTACTGTGTGATCTCTAGCTGATTAGTGATGCACTCCCAGTATAAAATACCACCTTGCCTGCTGCACTAGTCAGTAGGCACAGGAATGGCCTATGATCCACCTGTCTGCCAAACGATTTCTCCTCAGGAATAGGAAGAGAAAATGTCTAATAAATAAAGTGAAAGAACAAATACAAGACTAATTGCTCTCCTGGCAAGGTCTTTCTGCCTTCTCATCAACTGGCTGCCAGGATTTGCCTAATCTTGCATACATTTGCAAGATTAGCAGCAAGCACCGCAAGAGAAGTGATGGGAAAAGGCAGAGGATAAACAGGCAACACAGCTTCATAAATAAAATACAGCCACTCCTGAACTGCAAATACAAATCCTCATTTCCTAAATTTCCTATTACTTCGGCCTTTGGTTTCCTGTCTCAAGTTCAGTCTTACCAAGGACAGTGGACAAGCTCCTTTTCACAGCACTGCAGTATATCTCCCAATGTATTTTTTAAAATTCAGTAAGAAGAAAATTAAAACTGCTTGTCAGGACACGAGACTCTAATGTGAAATCCACTTCAGTTCTCAGTTCTGCTGCAGATTTCTACTATAACTCTGGCAAAGGCACTTCATCTTAACTGTATATATAGTTTGTCAAGCATTTCTTTTGCTGACAACCGCAGCTCAAGCATTATTACTTCTTTTTTGGTGGTTATTTCTAGCCTGGAGTGGTTCACCAGTATAGTTCATCACACAACACAACAAATATTTGCACTGCAAAACAGCATTTGCAACATAGAGACAGAAATTACTGACCACGACCAGCTCCAGCATGTCCTGCTGCTGAAAGAAACAGGCCAAACGATACCCACCTTTTCAGATCCCAATTTGTAAAATAAGAATAACACTTTTTTCTTCTATCCATCATCTTTCTCACTTATGTTGTTAACCTGGGAAGAAATGGCCTCTTCCTTTGTGTCTGAGCAGCTCTACATTGCACAGTGGGATACCCCTCTGTCAGCTCAGCCCTCCAAGCCTTGCTACAATGCAAATGAAGTTGTTTGACAGATCTATGCACTCATCTATAGCTAACCGAGTTCAGGGAAGGGTTTTCCATTTTTGTATTTCTAGAAAGGATATGCAGTTGCACAATGCTACAAAGTTTAAAAAAAAGGCCACCACAACAAAAAAAAGGGGGCATTAAAAGCAGGGGGCAAGGAAGGATTATGTGAACATGTAGATTTCTGTCCCAAAGTCATAAAAAGAAAATACAGTTCTTCATTTCTGGTTGGATAAAACTTCCAAGGAAAAAAAAAATTATTTTTTTTTATCTTTGAGCTGTACTTGTTTTACTACCCATGTTTAAACCTTTGGCTTCAATACCGCAATTCCTTCAATATAAGGAACTGGGTAAAAAATTATTGAAGTGTAAAAAAAAAAGAAAACCTGATAAAAGAGATAAAATATTCAATACTTTCTAATTCTTAGTAATACAAGTAACACTTAAAATTTACCATCTCTCTGACTAGTCTTGTCTTCCACTCTCTTCCTCCTTTTATCACCCCAGTGGTTTCTTTCATCATCTTCTGTATTACCTACCATTAAATCATAAAGTTATTTCAAATACCTTTTTGAAGCATGGTGGATGAATTTTTAAAATTAATTTTCATAAGCCATACTCATGTAGTCTAAAAATGTAACTAGAACAGTGGTTCCCAACATGTGCATGTGGAAAAAGGTAGGCAGGGAAGGGTAAGATGACAACACACATGGAGGAAATGCACATCCCAGGATTTACTTTGACTTCTGCTACAAACAGAAGGGTTAAACAGAACCTACTCTCCCTTACCTTTCTATCCATCTCCAGTGCAAATGGCTACAGGAGCAGCTTACTGACCACAGGTTCCTCTCTCAGCAAAAAACTTGTCTGGTCTAAGCTACCATGAACCTCCTAACATCTCAAAAATATAGCCAGTTTATGGGCACAGTCCTCAAGGACCAAGAGGACTAACTCATCTGCCATGTGCAACAACATACTTAAGATATTTTTGTGCAGGAGTGTTCTTGAGCATTAAAATGATGAAATTATTCCCCCAGGAATTAAGAGCCATAGTAAAACTTATCTGCTCCAAATGCAAGGTACCTTCTTTGACTGCCTTCTCTGAAGAGCAAACAAAAATTCTTCATCAGAAAAAAAGCCCACTTCCACCTTTGCCACCTCTGCTCATGAAACTCCACAGGGAGGTAACAAAACACGAGAACAAAATATGCATGTATACTAATCCTATCCCAGTTCACTGCTGGAAGATGCCTGATGCTGTTAGGAGGAGGACAATTATAAATAGAAAAGGGAACAACTTTGGCAGTAGAGGAAACAAAACCAATCAAAATCTAGAAGGAAAGGAATGGAATAAAAGACAAGCAAAAAGGAGCAAAAAAGCTGTATTTTTTTTTTTTTTGTCCTGAAGAAGTGCATGGCACAAGTTAAAAAGGAGGTAAATCGTTCCCAATATCAGTGAATTAGAATCCAACCTTTTGTTCAGAAATCTGTATTATATTTGTACCTGATGGATGCTTTCTGACTGGAGTCTTTTGTTCAGAAATCTGTATTATATTTGATTGTACCTGATGGATGCTTTCTGACTGGAGTCCTGTGCTAGTGCAGAAGGCAGGTTTTTTTCATGACTGCCTCATTGAATTCCAGGGCAACTGAATCACTTCTTTGTTTTATACCTCAATTTTCATATCTACATAATAGGAATGATAAGACCTACTTCTCCACTGAAAAGTACTTTGAAATGTAAGGAAAAGCAATTTATACTAAAAAAGAAGCAAAATCCACAATAAAAGTTGCTTGTATTTCTTCCCCCCCCAACACATTTTTTATCTGCGAAGTAGCACTCCAGAGTTTCCGTCAAACAGCTATTTTTTTTTTTTAAAAAAGCTTTTTTACATCTTAACTCTATTTTTTTGCAGCAAAAACATGTACTGCAAGCTGCACCCCTCTTTTTGTGATTCTCCCTGAACACTGCCTTGGGCTGGATTGAAGGAAGTAAAATCAAATTTTCACAGCTAATGTGTAACGAAAGGATTTCTAAAACACAATTTATAATTAAGAAATGCATACAGGTCAAGTCATGTTACATTTAATCACTGGACAACAGAGGATTAGCAGACATCTAGCAGCTCTGCAACGCAGAGGGTGCTGTTTCTGGGGTTTGTAGATGTCCTTTTGCGTTGCTATCTTCTGTGTCAGTCTTTTCCTGCTCTTCCACTTGAATATTTGGTGTGCACCTCAACCCTAAATTTATCAGAATCACCAGTGAAGCTCTTGGCAGCCTGGTACAGCCTCAAAGAACAAAAACAAAGCGAGAGGAGCAGCTGGTCCTTTTATTGCTGTGCTGGGTCCCTTTGTGTGCTCTGCACCCTGGAGGCCACCGGGATAAACTTGTCAGTGGCTGCAGAGAATTTCACTGTGCTGTCTATAGTACTACAAGCTGTAAATGGAGTGAAAACTAAAAATTAAGTATGGCTCCATTCCCTAATAGGAACAGAACACAGTGAAGGGGGAGAGAGAGAAAAGAAACTCCGCAGTGAAAGCAACAACTGAAATAATGACAAAGACAAAGCACTTTCAGTTTGGTTTAAAGCAGAAATGCAGGGGTACTTTTTTACCAAAAGTGTTCCCCTGTACTGCTACCAAAACAGAACTCCTATAAAAAAAACTATATAAGGACAAACAAAAACAAAAACCGCACAAATCAAAACCCAGTGGTTACAAATTAAAGCAAATTTCTATCGTCACGTTGGCCACTTCCCAGAGGTGTCAATGAAAGAGGGCATCACAGTTCCGAGCACAAGGCAGTCCCCAAGCAAGAAGCAGTGTCCACTTTTTATTATGAGGTTTAGTAACAATATTAACACCTCCTCGTCAAGCTAAGTCGAGAACTTTTCTTTGCCTATTATACATATGCAAGTTGCAAACTAAGAAACAGAACCTGCTACGGTAGCATGCAAAGACATTGTTTCCAACTGGGGAGTTTAGATGAATATAGATTATGCAAATTTTACACTCTTATGCCTGAGTTTGCCAGTTGCCTGTCAAACACACAGGTTTCCTTGACACTTTGCAATGCCAGAAGTTCCCAAGTCAGATCACCTTTCATGTAACTAACTGCCTAGGGGACAGAAGATCATCAGCGATTAGGTGTGAGTTTTAAGCCACTCAAAGCCACAGCTCCTGCAAGAGCTCTCTAGTGACAAAACTAAAATCTTGCCTTCATTCAGACTCACCTCCTGCTAAAAGTAGGATGTTACGCAACTGAAAACATGAGATGCTTGGCACCAAAGGTGAAGCAAGGAAGAGGGAACCTGACACTGCTGCTTAATGGCTAGGGCAGTAAGCCAGAGCAGGAGACCTGGGATCCTTCCTGTTCCCTTCAGCTATGTACGTTATTCTACACATTACAGTAATCTTACAGCAATACCATTTTACAGAGCAAAAGAGATTCACAGGCACAGAATGGTAAATGAACACATGAGATTTAAGACATGCAAATCACGTAAGCTTGCTTTCCCTATGTACTTTCTTTGTCACACAGGATAAAGTATCTAAAGGAAAACAGGATTCCCAAGTTAAAAACAAACAAGAAACCCCACAATCATCAGGCAAAAACATGAACCATCATTAGATTATAGCAGAGGTGGGACCACTGGGAAAAAAAAAAAAAGAGAAGGATTGCTAAAAAATTTTCACTCCAATATTTCAGGGACATTTTTCTTCTTTTAGTTCTCTTCCTCTAACTTAGGGTGCCCGACCTATGGCCATAACCTACTAAAAGCCATGTTTTTCTTCTTAAGGACACACTGTGGTAAACCTACAGCTGTCAGCAAGATGCTGTTGCCAAAATACTCTCACAGAGAGTTTGGAAATGGAGGGATATACTGCACAATGTGTTTACAACCTGCACATGCAGAGTAAATACAAGAAACGCTAGATGTACTATCAATTAGCTGTCTTACGCACATGTTGTAAATCTAGTCCTATAGCAGGAAATAAGCCATATCATGCCTGGCTTGGAAAGGGCAGAGGTACTTGAGTTGACCAAACACTTAGCCAAGTAAAGCTTTTAAACAGCTGCAGTTTAAACTACTCCTACGCTCTCCCCTTTCATCTCAGTCATTTGCCGCATTTCCCTCTTCTAGAGGTCATCACACTGATAACAAAAGCTTGTGGAAGGGAATCCAGGCCCAAGTGCCAGAGTCTCTGGCACAAACCTAGCTCAAACTCACCTTCAGTGGCAACTGACAACCAGACACCAGACTCCGTGCAGGAGCAGCCGAGACAGAGAAACACTTTTAGGTCGACTGTGCCATGGGGCACTAATGTCTAGTGTTAATACACCAAAACCTGCATTTTCATCTCAAACTACTGCAGCAAAATCTGCCAGAGCCTAGGGATTTTGCATGCAGTCATTATCAGAGGCGAGTACCAATTTAATAGGATGCGTAGCAGTTTGGGCTCTGGAGGATCCCTGGTACGTGCTGCGCTGGTAAACCACGCTGCACTCTTGCAGGTGAGAAGTAAAGCAGCCCAGCCAAGCACACACCACAGCTCATCCTCAGTGCAGCATCCAGAAGGGAGCCTGGGTAAGACAGCTGCCTCAGGAAGGATGAACCACCTTCACACAGTTCTCCAAGACAAAACCCCAGTTTTGAATTGCAGAAGGATCCTAAGGAATCCAGACCTAAGGGACCACTGGAGAACAAAGTGACTTTATGCACTTTGGATCCCCTCTCTCACCCCTAGAGCACCTCAGAGGATTCAAGGAAGGAATATGCATTAAAGTCAAGCTATAAATGTGCTTTGGTTTAAATTTTTCTTCCAACCTTTTATTTCCAGGTTTTACATCATAAACACAAAACCTGAGGATCTGAAAGTTTGCAATATAAATCTTCACTATGTTTTACCGTATTCTGTTATTGCTGAACAAGGTGATCCAGATAAACCAGGCCTATACTGCGTTCACAGAAACAGTATAAAAAGGAGCATGGATTTTTACAACCTAAAAAACACCCATAAGAAACTCATGGTATACTTGCATGATACATTAGCCTCAACAGTAATGCTGAATTACAGAGTATTCCCCCAGAAAGCTCACTCAGTTCTGCCTAACAGCACAATTTGTCTCCCAATGCATCAGTATAATTATAGGGCCACATAACCAAGACAACCAAAATGATCCAGGTTAAATACGCATGCATTTAAGAGTAAAATATGCTGTTAATTAATACATGTAATTCAGGACATGCAGAATAATAAAAAATATTAATATTTCCTTATGATCTAGGGCCTTGCAAAATGAAAATCTAACATTTTTTAAATTTTACAATGGTACATAGCAAATGGTTAGTTATTTGTTCTTTTCCCCAACACATTGTTCTCAAGCATCCAGTCTTGCAAAAGAAGCAAGGAGGCTTGGGGTAGGGTTTTTTTGGATTTTGGGGGGTTTGGTTTGTTTGTTTGTCACAAAATCTTTCACAAAATCAAGAGACATACAGTTTCAATTCTGAAAACTTACCAAGAGGTGCTTTGAGAAACCTCCGCTCAATTCCTTGTTCTATCTGAAGCAGTGCGGATGCCAAGTGGTGGACCACATTATTAACTGGCTGAGGAGTACTTGTACTTGTTGATGCAGCACTTGGAGCTTCAGTTTTTAACTCTACGAGTCTACAACAGAAATGTATGATATTATTTTTTTTTAAACATACTTTGAATTTAATACCAGATACTTGTACAGGTCTGTATCCACAGTAGCTATTTATTTTCACTTCATTTCCATGCATGGACTATGGGCATGAACAGATACTGCCCAGGTGTAATTAGTTAACCCAGTTCTCAAGTTTGCTTAATTGGTCTAGTTAATCTAGATAAATCATCTTCAGGTAGCAAAGTTATCTAAATTTCAAGAAATGTGGATTACAAATTTCAATACAATTACTAAGATTTCCAGAAGATTGATGCAACATCTATCAGCTAGTTTATGGGAGATTTCTGTGAAGAGCATAGTTCCAACAATTCTTTAGTGAAAACACTACCAGTGGCGAGGTATAGCCTTTTAGAATGCTTCCATCTGCAGAATTCAACTACATATATCACCACAATTATTAAGATTTTTGAAAAGAAAATAAATGAAACAAAACCAGAAAGTAATTTTAGATTGTTAAATCAAGAACTGTTAACTTATATGTTCTCATCTTTGGAAGTTTTTTCTAAAAAACTAACTCTTCATCTAAGGAGAAGAAGAAGAAAAAAAAAATAAAAAAAAGGAGCTGCCTTTAACCAAAGACTCAGTAATAATTTCAAAGAGTAGTTAATCTTCCTGAGCCACAAATATTACATATAGTGTAGGAATGCAACTCACACTCATGAAAATAAAATTCAATTTCTACTTGGGGTTTACTAAAAAAAAACAAAAAAAACCAAACCAACACAACTAATTCAGAGTGTCTGGATTCTGCTTCATTCTAGTGAATGAGCAATGCTTTTGGTTGTCCCTGTTCTTTTTGCAGACTTAAAAGCCATTCATTATATTTTGCAGTCACACACATTTTGAGAGCCTGAAAGCAGACAGAAAAAAAGCCGCATAGTTATTTACATTTCACTAGTCAAACTCCAAAGTCTTAATGAGATGTCACTCACTCTGAAGTGGATAAAAAGCCCATCATCAAAAGCAATCTGTCACATGATTTCAGAATCCCATAGTCTCTGTTTTAATATGCAAGACTTTATTAGAGTAGACTTTTTTCAGAAACTTTGACGGAGTCAGTATCAAACGGAAAAAAAAAAGAAGCAACAAGCCTCTGCAGTTGAATTGAGAGCTGGCATTGGAGCAAGTGCCCACGGTAACTGGAGACAGATAAATTTTAGCTTCTCAATTAGAATAATGGAATATTTCAATGTTGTGGTTTTCAGGAAGTGAATGTCTATCAGTTGTGTCATTCATATAAAGAAGAATGACCCTATCCACTTTGCACGCAATGAGAGAACTCAGATCCGAGGGGCAGTCTTATATGAAAATACTAATTCAGCAAACTGAAATAAAAAGGGAAAAACCTTAAAGAACTCTAAATCCCCACATCCAACACAGCACTAGTCTACCCAGAAATACAGGTTTAATCAAAGTCTAATTGCAGAAAACCTCACAGAATACATAAGGAAACAATATGCTAGTACCATGATCACCTCCAATGAATCTTTCTTCCTGCATTATTTCAACATTCACATCTTATCAAGACAAGCAATTTTATATGTATTAAGTAAATTAAGGTAAATCACATTTATGAAAAGTATGTAACTTCTGAGAAGAAATCTTCACAGTTTCTATAGTTTGATTTACAACAAACACTGGTATAGTGTAGAGTCTCACGTCTCAAAAATTTGTTTAGAAAAAACAAACAAAAACCAACAAAGCACTTTTACAGTTGCAACACAACAAGATTTGAGGTTTCCTCTCTTTTACTACGTTGCAGTTTGCTCTACAGAAGGATTATCATTCATAAAGTTACAACATTATATCTTTCTTTTGCTGCAGTGCTAAAGGTTAATCCAGACCATGGCCTGTTGCACTGATGGTTCTTATTGTGACTCATGAAGAGGTACACTGGCCTGTTCAACCAGCAATTTGTTACTATTACCATTTTTGCTTTTAAACACTCCTACTCTTTCCACAAAGTTTTGGGGCTTCCCCCCCCCTTTTTTTTTCCCCTTTTTTTTTTTCCTTCTGGAAAACAAACCAGAAATTGTCAGATTAATTTTTCTCTGCATTTTAAATTATTTTAAAATGAATTAACATATTCCTTATTTGATAATTAATGTTCACTTTGAGGAGTGTACTATTTGAATAGTAGAAATCATAAAAATTGGTGTCTTAAGTCTTCTATGGTAAGAGAACAGGATCATTTAGAAAACATAAACCAATGCAAAAATCTCACACTTAAAAACTCAAATTTTAAAAAATACCATTCCAAAGCATTTGAGGGTAAAAACAATTTGAAGGTTAAAAAAAACAGAGCACTGCTATAAAACTTACAGGGAAGAGCCATTATTTAAACCATAGCTCTTACCTGTCTTTCACAACAAACTTATCTTGATCATCAGTTTCCATTTCCTCAGATTCTTCATTCACAGTTTTAATTATACCATTTTCTTTGTTTTCATCGTTCAGAAACTCATAGCGCCCATGTTCTAAGGCTGTTCTCCAAGACTGTCTGTCTGTAACCTGAAGCAAACATACAAACATGAAGTTTCTGAAGAATCAAAGGCCACAAACCTTTAGTGCCAATTACTGTCTACACTTAATTTAATTATGCTTTCAGTAAAACCCATAGAGTGCATGAGTTCTTACTTAAGTTACAGACTCAACAGCACCACCGTGCTCCTAGGTATTCCACAATTCCCCTATACCTTAATAGCTCCCAATGTTCCTTGGTAGATCCTGTCTTCTATGTCCAAAAGGAAATCTCTAAGTCTCAGTTCAAGCTGCTTCTCTGCAGATATGCGAGATCCATCATAGGCATTCTGCATCCTTCCCCGTCCTGAAGGAGGTCTGATGTCACTTTGAGGTTTGTCTGCAAGAACACCAAGTACTTTCATGTTAGTTCTTAAAGTAGCCATGGGTGGAGGGAACAAAGGTAGTACAGGGCAGAAAAAAAACTGCACACACACGTTCAAAACTCTCTTCCTGTAGCAAGAGTTGTCAATACCAACATCTCCTTGCCAACTAAGGCATCTGATCCAACCACATGGAGTATAATTTAAGGGAAGACCTATAGGTTAGCATCCGCTTATCCCAACACACAGGATGAGAAATTCCTGTCAATTTAAAAGTCATTCTTTTGTCTTTAAGTGTTTTCTAAAGTAGCAGATAATCAACAACGACCCTCTGCTCTAAGTGCAAAGAGAAAGAAAAAACAAAGAATAAAGTAACATTTCTATTATTTTTCATATTTTATGCCCCTTACTTTACAGGAGAACTCCTCAGGTTTTTTTCCTGCATGGATCTTTATCGTGGCAACATTTAAAATAAGCATGTGCAACCGACAATCGCAAAAACTAACAGAACAAGATATAAACCCTTTTAAAAACCTGAATTAGTGCTTGCAAATCTGCATAGGTGGCATACATTTCTGTTCAAAGGATTTACCTTAAATCTTATGAATACAGTGATGACGAGTCATATGCAAGAATTCAGGGGTATTTAATAAAAAATTACCATGAAGCTCTTGTTAAGGAAGTACAGGATGAATTTCTAAGATGCTCTCAATTGTGGAGACAATTCCCTGTAACTGAAAGTAACTATGCAAATGTTCTCAAAATGTATACTAGCATATTCTGATGTCTAGAAGTGGGAAACATCCCTTCTGGTTTAAGGAAGAAGGAGAAATTCAATGTTTTTTTCTTGAGCAGAACTGAAACAGCAGCAATTGGCTTGCACATAATTGACGAGGAAAAGTTAATGGATACCAGAATAAAATCAAGAGCACATAACAGTTTTATTTCCATGCTCTTTTAAGTGGGAATTGGAAAAAGGAGAAGAAGGACAGTCTACAGCACAAGAGAAACGCAAAGTAGTTCTCACTTGTCCTGCAAGTCATTTGAGTAAAGGCAATAGGGCAGCAGCTGGAGTCCACAGCGGTAAAGCTCCCTCCAAAGTACAGCTTATCACTGCTTATCACACAGAGGAGGTGACATTGGGATTGGACCACTGCATTTGAATTTTCTTGATCTGTATTAAAATGGAGTTCAAAGGTGCTTTTTTTTTTTTTTTAATCAATGTTATTCTACAATTCTAACATAGAGTAGAAAAATCTATGATGAGGGAAATCAAGTTGCTTCAGGGCAGAAAGCACAAAATACAGATAAGGGTGCAGTAATCAGGAAAATAAGGAACCATACACACACACATTTATCAGAAAATGACAGAGTTTTCTCACCAAAACCCACAAACATAGCCATAAGGCCTCCAAATAAAGCTAAATTACTATTCAGAAACTCTGTCCTGCGCTAGTTTCCACCAAAAGAAATGGTGGATCAGTTATGGATTTTGTAGTATCTGACACTGTCACGGCATGTCCTGCCACACACACGCTCCAGTAAAGCAGAACCCAGCTCTGCTCTGAATAATTCTCCCTTGCCCCAGTACAGATACACTGAAATCCCCACAGTAATTTGGCATAATTCAAAACAAAATGCAATTTCTTAAACATTACTCTAGGGAGTTTCATTTTGGTTAACATCCTCTACCCAACAACATGCCACAAACAAGCCAGCTGCAAACCTGTGTATGCAGAATTTTATCAGGGATTGGAGCTAAGGCCTTGCCAGTAAATGGCAAATACTTATCTAGGAGAAAAGGGAAAAAACCCTAAACCCTAGATATAGAATGCATCTAAGTACACTCCTACACTTTAAAACCCATAAAATCAATACTGCTCTGCAGATGTCTCCTCCTCCTGTAACAAGCAAAAGAAGAAAGGGAAAAAAAATAGAAAATAATAATATAATACAATCCACTGCAAGTATGTTAAAAGCCACATAACAACCAACACAGCTACACTATTTTTTTCCTCCCAAAGGTTTTAGTGTGACCCTGCAATATGCTATTATTCCCTTGTTCACAATAGGCCAGTAAAGGCTTTTGAATTATTTCATGCATTATAATGTTAGGAAAGAACATGTCCTACTCCACAAATCAAGGTAATAGTCATTGCCTCCCTTTGCGATTTTTCTACCTCTAGTGTCATATCTTATGTCTCCTTTCATCATACTGGAAATAAGGACATCAGATGATCAATACTGTGATTTACCTTTAGCAGATATTAATCTTTATTCCCCAGTTAATCTCTTCCCAAAGCTCAAACTAATTCCTAAAGATGTTTGTTTAAAAGCCAATCCCATTTTACTAAGCAGTGAGATAAGAGAAAAATTATTGGTTTTATAGCATAAAATGCCAGAAAAATACCACAAAGATTCATCAGGAAAAAACCCCCCCCCAAAAAAAAAGAAAAAAAATAAAGGAAAAAACAAAATCTGTTTTCCATAGAGTGAAAACAATGCTTAAGAATATTTCTTATTTCTTAACAATTGCAATTAAACAAGAATTAGAGGTTTCTAGAATATTATATAGAAGTTACAGCTGTGAAAACAAATTAAGATCAGGAACCTTTCATTTACCTGGAATATGGAATTTTTCCACAGGAAAACTGCTTAGTTGTTCATATATTCTACTTTTCTCTTGTAAAAGAGTTTCTTTTAAGGCACTCTCCCTATGTCCTCGGGAATTGAGAGCCTCTAATAGTTGGTCCAGTTGTTCCCGAGAATTGTAAAAGCACCAACGGTTTGGTTTATATACTGGCCTTGGCACCTCTACAACAACACTGGTGTGTGAATCTTGGTCAATATTGGAGGTAGATTCAGAGGATTTCAAAGACTCTCCAGTTTTACTGAATACCTGAGGTTCATTTGTGCAAGACGGTACACTATTCTGAAAGGAAGAGGTTCGAGGCAACAACATGTCTTCTGTGAGACCAGAATAGTCCTCTTCTATGAACAATCCAGGAACAGAGGGGAAAATCCAGTAGCGTCGGTACAGACGGTCACGACCTAACGGGGTGATATTTGTGCATGCTGTTGCATTCTGAATCTTTTCTAACAGTTCCTTCTCTTTCTTTTGTTGCTCCTGTTTTAAAGCTTCTTCGTCTTCAGCAGTAAGAGGTTCAGTCTTTTCACAAGTAGCTTCTTCTTGTCTTGTAAATTCTTTATATCCATTTTGCCCTCTCCTTCCTAAAAGTTAAAGGAAGAAGAATGATAGCAACATGCTTGTAAGTCTTTAATTGTCCAAAAACTCAAGTAAAGGGCAGGTTTTGGTTCTGTGCCTTTCAGATTATGTAAACTTACACCATCAAGGACCATCAGCTCAGTCAAGAAACAATACTAGTTTTATTAATGAAAAATTCATTAACCCCCTTCCCTCCATAAAAAGGAAGCATCTTTAGCTTACTTTCACATTGCAGAAACTAGAACAAGTCTCATTTATGGACACTGTCATGTTTAACACCATAAAAGAAGAACCACTATTTTAAGAACTTAAAAGTATGTTATCAACGTTATCTTATCATGATAAAGTAAAATTCTAGCAATTTCATCATTTGAATACAAACTATGTTTTGGAGTTATTTTATCATACTCAAAATGACCAACTTAAACCCCCCAAAGACCTCAAGGAAAACCAGAATCCCTATATAAGAGCTTTTATTGCAAACTTAGTTATGATACTTCATCAAAATTTTTTAAAAAATATATACTATTTTTTCCCCCCTCAACTTTTCTTTCAGTACCAGCTGAAAATACTCCAGCTCACATCTTAGTTTACCAAAGAATCAGGTCCTGTCAGTCATCAAGAAAAGTACATCTTGCAATTAACATATGCATTGGTGTAAGATGCTGTCAGCACTCAATTTCTACTGATTTCCACTGTGACCTTCAGTTTCTCCAATCATAGGAATGAAATAACCCTTGTTTGCCCTCCAGGCACAATGTCTCAAACATGGGCGTTCGAGAAACTTCAAATTCTGTTTAAGACCTCATTGCTTTGCCATCATAAAGCTGTACTAAACACGCAAACCTATATTACCGAATGACTCAGAATTTCTCTCCCAGGTACTCTTATGAACTGTAGAAGCTTGCAACCTTAAGTCCACAATGACCCAGGACTTTCATTGGCACAGACGCTAGCACAAAGCCTTCACAGGAGAAAGATACAGATGAGCTAGCAGCCCAAAGCCATCAACAACTCATCCTCCTGTAGTGATTACCTATGTTTAGTTACAAGCAGCAGGCTGTGCCATTTACTGCACCACAGCTCCTACTAGCACGCTGCTAAGGAAATTAAACCTGGGGACAAGTCTGGTTGTATTCTTGTATAGAAGGCATGCTGCTTCACGAACAGAGGCAAACTAAACCCAATCACTCAATATAACATTTTCTTTTAAAATACCTGTTGTTTTTGCAGTTTCCTAATAAAAAGAGTCAAAACCACCCCATATCCTGCTAGATGAGACTCCTACAACTCTGAGTGCACTACTCGTAACTGTAATGGTTTGTCAGGCAACAGCCTGGGGTTTTTGGTTTTTTTTTTTTTTTAGACAGAAGAGGAATCCAGACATCAAGTATAGAAGACAAGAAGAAACAAGCATGAAAGAACGTACAGCTGACTGCTAGAACTACATCAGGCCAGCTCAATACACTTAACAGCCCGTTGTGATTGTGTTTGGTTTTTTTTCTTTTCCTTTAAAAATGTATAGGAAAGAGTTACACTTTACACTGTAAACCCCAAGAACTTCCTGGGTGCATTCATGCGCGTGTGTGTGCATACATATACACAAATGAACAAATACTTTACAGCGTTACCTCTTCCTCGTTTTTTGTTTGGTCCCAGTTCTTCTTCCTCATCTGTCACTGTGTCTATGTCTTGCTCTTTACGTTCAATTTCTTTGCTCTCTGTACTAGTATCAAGGTCTTCCCGTTCCTCCTCCCTGACACAATAAAACAAAAGGTGACTAAGTGACCAACCACGTATTAAAAGCTGAATGGAATGAAAAACAATACACAGTGGAATACAGCATCTTCAATAAAAACAGAATTTTCCTCACAGAAATACTTAAGCTAGTAAAAGACCTATAATGCTTTTTAAAAATAAACTTGAAGTCATAGAATAAATTAAAACCCAGAAGAAACCCACTGAACTGTAAATTGAAAGTTCCATGTTAAAGATTAAAACCTGCTCTCTGACATTCACTCTTTTATTTGAAGAGCATTATTATAATCAGATCCTTTTTGGAGACAGTGTAGTTCTGCTGACCTGATTTATTATTTTCAGGACTAAAAACAAAAATGTATCCTCATCAAACTGTATTATGTTTTATAAAATGCTTACTACACATTTTCCCCTCATCTAGCAAATATAATTAAAATCCTACAAAACTACATACAACCACTACAGGATAACATTTCTTTTACTATTTTTTCCTCAATTATAGTTTCAAAAATATAGCACAAATCTGTCTTTGCTCCATGCTCACCTTTTGCAAACAAATTTATTTAACTAACTCCCTTCCTCAAGTAGGTAAAGAAATAGTGTTGTATATACACTTTGGTTTTTTGTCATATACAACTGTATGTACATGAATCTTACCACCTGAAACCATACAGTTTTATTAATAGAACAAAACACGTTGGTTTTATGGCAATCACTTGGGACAGCATAGCATTTTTTTAAAAAAAATGCTATTAAATCTCATTTATAAACTGTTATGCAAGGTCAGTATTATCTAGCTCAGATCAGACCAATTCCTTAACTTATAAAACAAATTAGAATGGTCTGTTCTGAAGATATTCATAGATATGAAATCAATGGAAGACAAAGAGTAAAACAAAACAAAAAATTAGATTTTGCAAGTTTCTCTTGTCAGTAGGTAAAACTGTCAAGCTTTCAACAGAATTATGAGTATAATAAAAGTTAGTTTCAAAAAAATCACTTTTGTAAAGCAATTCTAGAACACTAGGAAAAAAACTAAAATCAACATTAAGGGCTACATACTTAAATTAAAATATACATTTGTGTATGATCAAGTCAATGAAGTACATAGGTAAGGTCTGGCCACATAACTGAAAAGTGCTGTATCATATGTATCACAGTAATACCATGTATCATACCCAACAGATACTTCTACAGCAGGATTTCTTTGCTCCTCTTCCTTCAGCTTTTCTTGTTTCTCTTTCATTTTTAACTCTTGTTCTTTTAATCTTTCTTCTTTCCTCTTACGTATCCTAATAGTAAGAAGAACATAGAAAACCAGTTTCAATTAATCTAGTATCTGACCTGGCCACATCTTTTTTGTTTTATACTACAGTATCAACCAAAAAAAAAAAACCAAAACACAACAACAACAACAAAAAACCCCAACCAGTAATGTGAGAAAGCTCACAGCTTAGCACAACAGAAGTTTCACTCCTGTCTAGGGTCTCAAGAAACCAGCATAAAACACAAACACTACTATTGTTTCTCATATGCCTTTTGCAATCAAGGAATTAATCAAATTTGTAGCAACAAAATTTAGCTTTCCATATCCTAGCTTTACCTTGCTGCTGCTGCCTCTCGTTCTTTGCGATGCTGTTCTGCCTTTAATTCTCTGAACTCCTGCTTTGCCTGTCGTAACACATCAACAGAGTCCTCGATAAAATCTCGAGTGGAGACAAGAGTCAGAAGCTTCCCACAGAGGGCATGAAGGATCTTCATCTTTTCTCCTAATAAAATTCAGACCAATGTTTATATTTATCAGTTGTATAATGAAATCAGTCTTACTCTTACACACTCCAGACTGTAGACAGGTTCCCACTTGCGAAAAAGAAATATCTGCTTTGCTCTGAGATACGAGCCTTTGTTTTTCATTTATTAATTTTTAGCACTGAAAGAAGAACTAAAATTCAATATTATCTTCAAAACGGAGATAAAGGAACTGCAGATTGTTATTTGGAAATGGAGAAAAAATTACTAACAGAAGACCCAGACCAGAAGAGCAATAAAAAACAGGATCTGAATCAAACACTCAGATGCTTCTCCCAGAGAGATTACCTTCTGCAAGTAAAGCTAACATTTCTTTAAACAGGATTTTAAAAAGCTACTCAGAAGTAATGAGACTACCTAGCTCTTCAATCTCTGATCTCGTGGGACCTGCTTTGGGGAGCCACAGAATAGGGGGTGGGTGTTGGTCTAGGTGACCCCCAGAGGTCCTTTCCAACCTAAATTTTCCATGATATATGAGATTTTTACCATTCTTGATCTGAACCAGTTACAAAACCAATCACTTCATGAACAATCTAACAATCTCTAACATTTATTATCTTTTATTACCTGGCAACAAATCATACACTGAGGTACTTGAAAGTTTCTTCAGGAGGCCAGGATTACTTAATCTCAGCTCCATGCAAGCATCATCAGTAGCATCAAACCCTCCTCGTTTCTGGTAACGGTATTTTGCATTGGCTGATGTTACATCAGCACCTGATGCTAGAATGTGAAGTCTGAGAATCTCAGAAAGAGTGCAGCTATCAAGATCCAAGTTTTTCAAATTGCAGCCTACAGTTGAGAAGAATGAACAGTTATTTGATATAGACATTTAAATACATATAAATAGAAAAATGTGCTTTAAAATACAGAGCAAAATAAGAACAGTAACAAAACAAGAAGTGAAACCCACACATACCCTGATGTAACTGTGGCCATGCAGCTGCCAAAGTTGCAACTGCAGACAGTGCAGATTTTGTGGGGTCTGCATCTTCATCCAAAGCCTCTGTTAAATCTTTAAGGAAATAAACACTTTATTCTAGTGCAAATTAAAACTTGTACTGCGGAGGGGAGGAAAGCAAGCCAGTTTTTAAGAGTTGCAGACAAAGCAAAAAGAGGGCCGATATTTACAAAAGCATCAACATATTCAAAACTCAATTCACCATCCAAATTAAAATATACATCTCTTTAAATGCAACTAAAAATCCAACTAAAAGCTAAGGACATGCACCACATGCTATTCTCCTTATAAGATGTTAAAGCAAGCACAATGCACAAAACATGCACAATGGCAACACAAAAGGCAGCAAAAACAAATCTATAAGCACACTTGAAAGCAAAAACAAATACCAGTGCAAGAACACCTGTATTTCATTCCCTCATATGAACTGTTATTTCCTATCATAATTTTGTTTAGAAAAGACCACCGAAACCAACCAGACATTTTGATACTGGTTATCACCATTTACTGTATACTTTTAATCTGTCACTTGATATAGCCTTACTGTTCTGCACAAATACGATTACTAAGGCGTTACAAAGAAACCATACTTCACCAAAACAAGCATCTGCACTTAATAAGGAACATTACACATTAGCAAACCGACCAGCAAAGCAGGGTAGTGAAACAGAGAAACAGCAAAATTCCTGTTTCTTAGACAAAAGTTTCCTTAGCACTTACAGGTATTTCTCCAGAGGGTTGGCAGAATTTTTCAGTGTTGTATGCTGTTTCAACAACTTCACTTTATTCAAGTCCAAATCATTAAGCAGTTACAAAGTCAACAAGTCAAAGAAGAGCCACAAAACCAAACTAAAACTACATAAAAAGCAAATCCACAACAGAGTCATATATGATGATTGATGTTGTTTGAAAACTGTCACCCAGACACAGCAAAAATCAACCTCTCCACCTCCCCTCTCACTGTATTTGTATAATAGGGTTTGAGAAAGTACTGTACGCACCAAAACCCCACGCCCATGGTGTTTTCTGATGTTGAAACAATGCCCGTACAGAATTTAAGTGAACAAACATGCTGACTACTACTAGTTTGGTTAGTCAGAATTACAAATCCGTGAACATGTAATTCTTTTACAGGAAAGAAGATGTCTAAACAAGAATGACAAGAAATGGAAGTTCAAAAGCAAGTGAAAGACAACAGATAAAGTGCAGTGCCCACAACTCTGCTAGTCTAGAAGCAAAACAGCAGATTTTTGCAATCGCCAGCCCCATATAGTCAAATTAAAATAGGAAAGTTACATTTTTTTCTGATCAGTCCTATGAGTAATAAAGAATCTAATCAACTATTCTATGATTACCTGATGATGGAATCCTTGCTTATATTGCCCAAGCAATGCTCTCAGTAGTTAAAAGATACAGTTTAACTGCTAAATTAATCAGTAATTAGAATACAGTCTAAATTTGTTAACACCGTACCAAATCTCTAACTTTATTCAATTAACAAGAGCAGCCTCTATTGCTGAAGATAGTGCCCATGTTTTATAGAAGGACATTTTCTAGACTGGACATAAATCTTAAGCATGATAATATGCACAGTCTTTAAGGGAGGAGTTAAAGGGAACCTTCCTGTACCTCACACTTCTATCTTATAGGGGAATCACTGGATTCACCTGACCTCAAACAGGAAGTGCTCTTATGTTCCTATCTACCTCTAATGAAAAAAAGACTAGCAGGAAGGGTCAAAGCTTCTCCTTTAACTAGTCAGCAAATCCGGCACTCAGTAAAAACAGGACATACTGGACAACAGCAGTGTGGCAACAGTTGCCTTCCCTTTCCACCAAGCACTGCAGAAGGCAGAAGAACTGGGAGAAGTCATCATAGAATCATAGATTGATAGAATGGTTATGGTTGGAAAGGACCTT